CACATTTTGATGTATCAACATCACGCACACATTTGGATGTACCAACATCACGGACACATTTGGATGTATCAACATCACGCACACATTTGGATGTATTAACATCACGCACACATTTTAATGTATCAACGTCACGCACACATTTGGATGTATTAACATCATGCACACATTTGGATGTATTAACATCACGCACACATTTGGATGTATTAACATCACGCACACATTTGGATGTATCAACATCACGCACACATTTGGATGTATCAACATCACGCACACACTCACTATCATCATGCTATGGGTGATGTCACCAGCATTTCGTTACAAATTTGTTTTATGATCAGGACTGGTAAATTAAACAAAAATGACAGCTTCAGCTGAAACTAAATATACATGCGTTAAACTGTTTCGGTTGTGAAATACAGGTCCTCACATAAAAAATATGGTTTGTAGGGACATAAGTGACAAGATTTTACAAACACTTCTTCCCGCTTTCTGTTTTTCTTTCTTCTGGTCATGACCTCTCGCACGCTGTAGCATTGTGTATAACGTGTTTTAAAAAATAGATTAGTTATGTGTGTGTGTCTGTATGTGTGTGTGTGTATGACTAGATAGAACAATTATCCGACCGACCGACATACAAACAGACAGAAGGAGAGAAATAGGAACGGACGGATATAAGGGTGGATAAAAAGATCGACAGACGGACAGACTGATGGAAGGTCGGACAGACAGACAGACAGACAGACAGACAGACAGACAGACAGACAGACAGACAGACAGACAGACAGACAGACAGACAGACAGACAGACAGACAGACAGACAGACAGACAGACAGACAGACAGACAGACAGACAGACAGACCGATCGATCGATCGATAGATAGATAGATAGATAGATAGATAGATTAGATAGATAGATAGATAGATAGATAGATAGATAGATAGATATAGATAGATAGATAGATAGATAGATAGATAGATAGATAGATAGATAGATAGATAGATAGATATAGATAGATAGATAGATAGATAGATAGATAGATAGATTAGACTAGATAGATAGATAGATTAGATAGATAGATAGATAGATAGATAGATAGATAGATAGATAGATAGATAGATAGATAGATAGATAGATAGATAGATAGATAGATAGTAGATAGATATAGATAGATAGATAGATAGATAGATAGATAGATAGATAGATAGATAGATAGATAGATAGATAGATAGATAGATAGATAGATAGATAGATAGATAGATAGATAGATAGATAGATAGATAGATAGATAGATAGATAGATAGATAGATAGATAGATAGATAGATAGATAGAGAGATAGAGAGATAGAGAGACAGAGAGAGAGAGCTAGAGAGAGAGAGATAGAGAGATAGACTGGAGATAGATAGATAGATAGATAGATAGATAGATAGATAGATAGATAGATAGATAGATAGATAGATAGATAGATAGATAGATAGATAGATAGATAGATAGATAGATAGATAGATAGATAGATAGATAGATAGATAGATAGATAGATAGATAGATAGATAGATAGATAGATAGATAGATAGATAGATAGATAGATAGATAGATAGATAGATAGATAGATAGATAGATAGATAGATAGATAGATAGATAGATAGATAGATAGATAGATAGATAGATAGATAGATAGATAGATAGATAGATAGATAGATCCAAGAGAATCCCGTTGAAGGAAACCAGGTTATTTTAGGGCCATCAACGGTTGCATAGCAACGTGGAACTTGGATGGAATTGGGGGAACGGGGGGGGGAATGGTGGGGGGCGGGGGGGGGGGGGTTATTACCTAGGTATGCGTCCCCCACCAACCCCCCCCCCACAACCCCCATGCGCATTAAAATGTAGTATATACAAACATGAACCTCTCCGTTGGCAAAGAAAATACACACACATTGTAAAGGCGCACAAGAAACAAAGAAACGATAACATTAATTAAGATATCACACAGGGTTCTATAAATCCGTATTCTCTAATCGTCTATAATAATTATATGTACACAAGATGTGTCATTGATACCATTTGTCGACGCACGGTCCAGGGGACATAAATGTGGTTAAAAAAACCCATTAACTTTGTAACGGTTAAGTTTTTTGTTAAGCTGATTATGCAGCAATGTTGAATGGTAAATTTATCTTATTTTACATTACTCATTGTCTGTTTATTTTTTTTTTTTTTTCATAAATAACTGTGATCACTGTCTGGTTCATTCAGTTTTTGTCGGCATTTGTGTCTTAGGCGTTACGAAAACGGTTCACAATTTATAAACAACCTTTTCGATTTAGCTGCAGGCTGATTGTAAATGGGCGGTTTAGTTAGAAATGACAAACAACTACTGAACGTAAAAACAAACAGCCAAAAACAATTGGTGGTGTTTATTTTGAAAAATCGTGTAGAGGTTATGAAGCTAACTTCTATTATCATTGTTAATATTATTGTTGTTATATTATTATGACTATTAGTTCTATTGTTGTTGTTATTATTATAACAATAAAAATAATTATTATAGTCAGACTTCTATTCTTTACTTCTTTCCTCCTCTTCTGTGAGAGTCGATCAAAGGATGCTGTGAAGCCTTCAATTCATATGCTGGCCTGGGGGCCAAATACGGCCCGCAGAGGCCTAGTAAGTGGCCCGCGGATCATTATCACAACAGTAACAATAAAGTTGCTGTAAAAAAATCTAAGCTGGAACTCGGGCCTCTGGTCTGTGCCTATCCCCATTGTCAATATTTTGGAGAGTAAGAACAAAGCAAGTTCTTGAACTGTATATAGTCTGTTTTAGCAGTATTGACCAACTGAAAATATAACTCAGTAGAAAGGTAAGTTGCTGAAATGTGGCATGACGCTTTGTCGTTTCAAGAATAAGTTTTCAAATGTTAACAAACCTCTAGTTTGCTCCTTCTTCTTCTGCCTTTCTAGCCCCAATGAAGCATAGGTCCTCGACCAACTCACGCCAAGCCGTTCTAGTCTTCGCTATCGCTTGCAGCTCTCCCCATCTTTCTAACTTCATTCTCCAGCTCCCTTCTCCATGTGTAACATTCCAAATGCTGATTCTAGAGGTTTTCCTAGCTGAGCGGAGGTATGTCGAGGATACGAACTCCTTACGGCTTTCTCCACACCGTTTCATACAACTACTTGAAGAGCCTTTTCTCATCTTGGTTGGCTGGGTTTTACTTGTTTCTGTTTTTGACTGATCCATGGTTGGCTGGTTTTTGTGGCTGTTGTTTTTTTTAAACTAGTTTTCATGTTGCTTTATTTGTGGTTAAAAAAAAAAAAAAGACACTGATTCCAGGCAAACAGCCAGCATGCTTACAGTTAATTGTGTAAAAGGAGCTTTTCAAAATATCAAAATTACACTTGCTTCATTTGCTTCTCACTCTCAGATGGTCATCTCTAGCGTTAGTTCCTTTTAGCTTTTGATTTTTCATTGTGTGCGGGATATGCTGTCAAAAAAAATTAACTCATGTGAACTGATTTCCAAACAACCCCACGCCTGTTCAGTTACTGCATATTCCCATTTTTTAGCGGTATTATTTTGTAAAATGACGATCAAAGAATATTCGCAGCATTAAGAAAATAGAAGTATCTCTGCAATTGCAAACTATAAAATCATTACGAGATAGGAAATCTAAGCGCACACGCAAAAATTCGTATTGATACGTATAGGAGGTTTGGATACATTTGTTTAAGTGTGAAGGCAGGACTTTGTTTAAGCTTGAAAATAAGGTCCATGGCTAGAAAACAATTCAGCTTGATCGTTGCATGAGAAATTATGGTTAAACCATTGAGCTTTAAATCATGATTACATTTGATTTTAGGGAGAGAAAAGTATAATGTGAGATTTTTGCACTGTGAGTTGTGAATATACAATATTACCTCAGTTCAAATAGATACTTCTTCGGAGAATCACATTTGTTAGTCAAAATCTTCTTTAGCTGAATGTGACTGGTGCGAAAATTCAGCTCACAAACGGATGCGTTATATTAAAGAGCCCATCCATTTAGATTTTCGTTAGCCGATTTCGTTCACCAAGGCCGAAAATCAGGTGAAATAAGATATCTTCGCTAGTCGCAAAATTCGCTAGCTGGATCACTCGTTAGCTATGACCTTCAGCTAGTAATTGAAACGAACACATCTTTCTTTATAAACTGGTTTAGATTACATTGTGGGGTGGGGAGGGGTGGACTGAGAGACACATCTTTACACGCTTTGGACAGTTTGTACTTGATGCTTCTTGGTACAGCCGTCACGAGGGTCATAACTGCAGCTTATTAGAAGACTCAACTACGTCACCGGTAATTTGTCGTGTTTGAATTGTCATCTAGGATGGCACTGCGATTAGCAGACGTTGTCAAATCTTCATGTTACTGATTGAAAGTTGAGTTGAGTGTTCAATTAGGAGTCGAAATCACAATACTCGGGACAGTCCCATAAGCGATCCGTCCCCATCTTCAGCAGCAAGCGAAGAATTGCAGTTCCGATGGTAAAAGTCACTGTCTGATTGTTTATTTGCCTCGCCCTTCCCTTGAGTGTTTAGCGTCTGTCAGATCCCCTGGTAACTCCTGGCGGCTCCATTCTCCTCAGACCGTAATGATATGTTGTACCTCGGCACTGTTCCTCCGCTCCCCAAGGGCTCTCACAACATCTGCGTTGTCATGTAACAATTCATCACCAAATGTGGTAGAACCAGCCAGTCTATATGCCCCAATAAACACCAACACACCAGCATGACCCGGAGACAATATCTAAAGGACCAACCCAGGACCTGTGAAGCGATGCTTGCCCCCTCGCGCGAGAATACATGTCTCTACCTTTCTCAACATACCCTGTGAGTCAGTTACAGTACGACATGCATGTACAGCTAATTCTCAAGCCAGGAAAAACATACAGATCTGATGAACAGTTTTGCCCTGAGAAGCAATGATCGTATCAGGTTTCTGTTTTTAACAGACTTTTGTCAGATCAGGTCCTTGCTTCCTCGTCTTCTGGCTACTGCTGCCAGGTCACGTGAGGTTTTCATAGAAGACGTTCTGGGACGGTGGTACTCGCATCCTTCACTGTCGTAGTCACTATCATCTTGTTTAGAAGATAACAGAGAAACCGATGCAGCCGGTCGTACCATGAATGTTTCCATTTGATATTCGGAATACTCCCTACAAGGATTCAGATTTAGGGTTTCACTGTTGCTGGCAGCAGAAGGTGAAGGTTTGCAAGCTAATGATGAGCTGGAGTCTTTAGCTGTGTTGTGGTTTGCGGTGCTGTTCTTTAAAGGAAGGATGTGTGATGGTGGTGATGAGTCCGGTAAGAGCGATGCTCTTTGGGTGTTTGTATTCGGTAGTAGTGATTGAATAGAATCATGGATGTTGAAGAACTGTCGCTTTAGTAGAATGTCGTGTTGACGTAATAAAATCTGCGGACAGAAATCACAAGATACAATTAGGGACTAATACTATTAGTGTGGCTTATTCGTGTTCAAATATGTTGCATCACGTTTACTTTTGTCACAGGATATGCTGGTATGAGAGGCAGCGTTAGAGCAGATTCTCCGGCTGGCAGTGCGACTATCTGGAATGGGCCCTGTTTGGACAGGAGAGACATCATCAATGTCATACGAGAGACTAAAAGCTGTGAGGCTTTCAGTTTTGTGGAAAATGATTTTTAAAGGAATAGACTGCATTTCCTGGATGTACCAGTTGGAGCCGCGAGACAGGAAAACCATGCGGGAGCCACTAGTCATTACATCAGCCAGAACAGAATGGGAGTTTTTATCATAAAAACACTTTGAGACATACTCAGGAGGAGGTCTGAGCACTTATGGTCACGTGCCATGTACGATAAAGATTATCTCAGAAATGAACATTGATATTTTGCACGTTTGTTGAAACTTTGGCTTTGGTCACTGGTTATTATCAATACTGATGAATGATGGATATGAGCTGAGGTGAGTTGAGTTGAGAATTAACTTTACCGCACTCAGAACGCTCCCATAAGTGATCCGTCTCTATTTTCTGCAGACATCGAAAAGTTGCAGTGCTGATGCCGATATATGTAGCAATTTGATTATTTGTCCGTGTAGTGCAGATCAAAGGCCATACCGCTTGATATATGTAAAGAAGCGTGCAAGCGGGACATGAACGATACATATTTTGAGGTGGATTCATGTGGAGAGGGAAAGTCAGGAAGAAAATAGGAATGATGGTGAACATGACTGCAAAAAGACTGAGAGCTGAGTCTAACACAAGCATTTAAATACACGATACGTTTTGTAGGCCGCAGGGTTTACTCTGCGCTGAAGATGTATAGAGGGCATCTCGGGACACCGCTAGAACTACATCCGCTATGCACCTAGAATAGATACATCAGTTTTACACATTTGGCTTATTGGTATGTTAACGACTGGTTCTTCGCCTTGCAGACGGATGCACTACAAAAGCGGTTCTCAACCTGAGGGTAAAGACGTTATTGTGGAATTGTATTTAGGGTCGGCGCATTAGGAAAGTTGTAGTGCAATGGTTCTCACTTTCCTAATGCGGCGACACTAAATACAATTCCTTATGTTGTGGCCACCCCTTGCCATACAATTATTTTTGTTACTACTTCATAACTTTAGTAAATATGTGTTTTATGGTGGTCTTTGGCGAGAATCATTGCACTACAACTCCAAGGAAGCACCAAGAAAATTAGTCGCCTTCTACGCCATGCTTGTTACAGGGCAGCTGGTGCGTCTCTTCATTTTCCCAGAGGTTTGGGGTTTGAGCAACAGATCAAAATTATGGCACAAGGGTAGTAACCCATAAGTGCTCCATAAGTGCTTTATCTCCAAAATTTGGCTCGGGAACCCATACGGTAAAACTGCGGCAGAATAAGACGGCAGAAAACCAGCAAAACTCACCAGCTCTTGTTTAACCCAGGTGACAGCCATAGTGAGGTCGTCCAGACGGTCAGACAGGGTTTCTCCCAGTTGTATTGATCCACAGACGCTCACCTTTCTGTGTCTTGCAGTGCGGGGGTCACCCAGCGCCGCCTTTTCATATCTGATAGCATTATAAATTAATGTTAGAATTTTTTTAGTTAGTATTAGAATATTTAATATTAGAAAATTTAATATTAGAAGAGTTAATATTAGAATATTTAATATTATACTATTTATTATTAGAATATTTAATACTAGAATATTTAATAATAGAATATTTAATGTTAGACTATTTAATATTAGAATATTTAATATTAGAATATTTAATATTAGACTATTTAATATTAGAATATTTAATATTAGACTATTTAATATTAGAATATTTAATATTTGAATATTTAATACTAGAATATTTAATATTAGAATATTTAATGTTAGAATATTTAATATTAGAATATTTAATATTAGAATATATAATATTAGAATATTTATTTTTAGACTATTTAATATTAGAATATTTAATATTAGAATATTTAATATTAGAATATTTAATATTAGACCATTTAATATTAGAATATTTAATATTAGAATATTTAATACTAGAATATTTAATGTTAGAATATTTAATGTTAGAATATTTAATATTATAATTTTTAATATTAGAATTTTTAATATTAGAATATTTAATATTAGAATATTCAATATTAGAATATTTAATATTAGAATATTTAATACTAGAATATTTAATGTTAGAATATTTAATGTTAGAATATTTAATATTAGAATATTTAATATTAGAATATTTATATTAGAATATTTAATATTAGACTATTTAATATTAGAATATTTAATATTAGAGTATTTAATACTAGAATATTTAATACTAGAATATTTAATATTAGAATATTTAATGTTAGAATATTTAATACTAGAATATTTAATATTAGAATATTTAATGTTAGAATATTTAATATTAGAATATTTAATATTAGAAAATTCCTGAATTTTAGAAAAACAAGGGAAATGACATCTTGTAGAGAATAGACGCTCACCTGCAGATCAGGAGGTCGTGGATTCAGGCCCTAACGGAGCCAGACGGTGTTTTTTTTTTTTTTTTCTCCGACTATAACCTTGGCTCTCATGTGGAGACAGCCTCGAGTGGGTACCAGCTAGGGCCCTAGAAAGTAAAGGCGGCCGGCATGATGTTGGCCACATCACTCACTAAGTGCTGATTGCTCTATAAAATATAGGTCTAGCCCTATGTTCCCAATAAACCTGAAGAAGTGGAAAAGTATCCCTTACGCACTTTTTCTTCAAGTCCATTCCTTGTCACGTTGGTAGTTATGTCCATCCACAACCTTCTGTCTCGTGTACTTTCAATCAACTCTGCCATAGAGGAGATCCTCCATACCATGAAGTCAAACTGTCCAGCATCTTTTCTCTCGGTTTCCCTCTGCCTCTGCCTCTCCTCCAACTTTCCTACTGTCACGATATTTTCCCTTTTTCTCCTTCTGATCGCATGATCAAAGAATGTGAATTGTGTCTTTCTGATGTGCACAGCCAGTTCTCTTCGTGAAACAGTTTCTTTCAACTCATCCTCATTACTCTTTGTATCTGTCCAGGGTATTCTCATAAATCGTTAAGAAAACCACATCTCCGCAGCTTCCAAATAATTTTTCACTAGTCTACCAAATGTCCATGATTCACTTCCATATATCAAGACAGGATCTATACAGTTTTCAACGAATTCTCTTTCTCATTTTATCATAACGGTACCTATAATGGAATCAAGGCCGTAGGGTTGCGATATCCATAGTACCGAGCCAAAGGGTTTACAACTCATGGTTTCTGGATACGTTAAAAAAAAATCATACTATTTGGATGCATGTATAGGTGTGTATGTATGGAATGTGTGTGTGCATGTATATCCATAAATGTATGTGTGTGTGTTTTCTGTTTGTGCATGTATGTCTATGTATGTGTTTGTGTTTTATGTTTGTATATGTATGTAGATGCGTGTGTGTATGTATCACGTATGTCTGTAAATGAGTTCGCATGTATGAGAACGTAGGGGTATGTATACGTGTGTGTGAGTGTGTACGATTGTGTACACATGATGTGTGTATGTATTATTCTACAATTTATATTTCTTTTTTATATCCATAACATGCATTATTGATAACATGTATTGGTACTCTGAAAAATGAATGCTTAGAAGGGCCGAATGTCAGACGGGCCTGCGTGCCCAATTTGTAACCCTTTGAAAATAAAGTCTGTTTGTTCGTTCGTTCGTTCGTTCGTTCGTTCGTAACTACTTTCTAGAAACCAAACAAGACCGTCGTTGTCTAAACAGATGAAAAACCGTAAACTGATTGGAGAAAACAGACGTATACATTTGGTATTAAAACTGACTGGAGAAAACAGGCGTATACATTTGGTATTAAAACTGATTGGTGAAAACAGACGTATACATTTGGTATTAAAACTAATTGGAGAAAACAGACGTATACATTTGGTATTAAAACTGACTGGAGAAAACAGACGTATACATTTGGTAGTAAAACTGATTGGAGAAAACAGACGTATACATTTGGTGTTCATTGAACATGTTACGGGAAGGAATTCATTCAGGAACTTGGTGACGATTGGCCGGATCGACAGAAACAGAGCAAAGGGAAAGACGTGAAATAAAGAGCTGATTGGCTTAGCAATATGGATGGGGCGAGACAAGAACACTGGCTTGATTCCTGATTCGAGTGATCGCGTGAGATGGCAAAAGATGACCGCCTATTTTTATCAGGACGGCACACAATAATGATTTTTAATAACAGCATTAATTACACATTTATTTACATACATTAACTAGATAGTTAGTTAGTTAGTTAGTTAGTTAGTTAGTTAGTTAGTTAGTTAGTTAGTTAGTTAGTTAGTTAGTTAGTTAGTTAGTTGGGTTATCCTCATTGCACTCCGGACATGTCCATAGGTGCTCAGATCCTCCCCTCAGTATGAACCCCAACGTCCGATGGCTAATAGTACCAGTTCTATGTTGATTAACAAGTCTTCTGGCGTAGCTGGTGTGCGTCTCGTTTTTTGCTGTGCCGATCTTAATTCCCAAGTCTGCCATTCTGGCGAGTGATGTGGATTCACTGCCACCAAAGTCGTCTATCCTTCCCATTTCTCTGAGGGCATTGATAATATCAGCATGATCCATAGGCTGACCGTCGGTAGTGATAGCGGATCCAGCCAACCTGTCAGCTCTTTCATTTCCATCGACGCCTGCGTGTCCCGGAACAAAAATAAAGGTGACTCCACGGACAGTGGACTTCTGTAATGATTCAAGCCATTGTCTTCGCACTGAACCTGCCTGAACCCTCCGGATCATACTCATTGAATCACTGAGTATACATACACACGCGGGTGTATTTTTGTGTTTCAAGCCAGGCAAGCGCTTGTGTCACTGCCATCACCTCCATCGTCATGCTGCTGGTTGTCATGGAGAAGGCGCCGTTGGCTTCTTTGACTGTTCTGCCCGCTGAGCGTGCTGTAAATGCCCATGCGCTTCTTCTTTGGCGTATAACGGATCCGTCTGTATAGATTATTGCATCTGCTTCGTCTGAATTTTCACCGATGAGAGCGTTGACCTCTGCATTAACAGCAACAGGATTCTCTTCTCTACATCGCCTGTTGAGTGTGACAATACAGGAAAATGTACAAATAAACGCCTGAGGCACAGGTATCCATTCTGCACCAGGTATGATGTCGGTTAGGCTGCATATTTGCCTAATAACATCTTCTGCCCGACCTAGACACGATTTCCCCTCTTCAGTCTGTCGCCCTTTTCACTAAAAAGCGCTTGATGCAGTGGGTGTTTCTTATCAGCACATATTTTGAGATATGCCCGAGCCCTCCACATCCTGATCCTTTGGTTCATTGTTGGAAAGTCAAGTAGATACCTCATTGCTCCACAGGATGTGTCTCTAGTACATCCCAAAATAATGCGCATGGCTTCATTTTGCACCTTTTCGAGTCGTTCAATCTGGGTAGCACTGACAGTGAGGGATGGCCAGAGCGTATTCAATGGGGTGAAAGGACCAGACCGTAGAATAGAAGTATTAGTAGTCTTTGCTCGATGTTGGAAGCAGCCATAATCCTCATTGCAGATAGACCTTTGCGTGCTTTTGTTATCACATGGTCAACGTGTTCCCTGAATGACAAGCTGCGATCGAACCTCACCCCGAGAAACGTCATAACGTTGGTTCTGATCAATACATTATCACGCATTTTCACTTCTGGTAAGTCCGACTTGACAATGTGATTATTCAAAGAGAACCATGACACTGATGCCTTCGAAGGATTGACATAGGCATTGGAACCATCACACCAGGCGGCAATTCGATCGAGTTCTTTGTGCATAGTGCTGGCGATCTCCTGTCCTTTCCCCCATTGAATACGCTCTGGCCATCCTCACTGTCAGTGCTACCCAGATTGAACGACTCGAAAAGGTGCAAAATGAAGCCATGCGCATTATTTTGGGATGTACTAGAGACACATCCTGTGGAGCAATGAGGTATCTACTTGACTTTCCAACAATGAACCAAAGGATCAGGATGTGGAGGGCTCGGGCAGTAACTCGTGGGAACTCGTAATCACCAAGTCGTGATTGACACTCACAAAATAAAGAAGACAAACAATATATTGTCGAATTAATTGTCTGAAATGTTTTACCTGACTTCATCAGAACAGCTTTAGTCCAGATTTGTGCAAATAAAAGTACATACTTGTTGACCTGTGTTTTGTAGTTACTTTTGTGTGTAATTTTTTGTTCTTCGTATTAACCAGCTTAAACTTGAAAGTTGTGGTTGTTCGTCCAAATCTAGATATTAGTCTTGTTCCAGAACTTGAGTTTGTTTGTGTTTAACAGATCAGGCTTATTTGTATGCAGACTGTTAATTTCTTGCCTTTCAGGCAGACTCACTCATACTTCGAAGAGAAATATCATAACTAGTCAATGTCCTACGACCGGATTATTGGGAGGCAGTTGTTCTCTTCTTTTTCTCCCTACAATGGGGCTCCGGCACCCACACATGAATGAGTGTAACTGATACTGCATTTCGATTAGATATGTATTTGTAGCGGCAATCAGACCCGTCTCCTCCAAATGACGACAACGAATTGATTCCGAAACAAGGGTACTAAGACGCATGCGAAACTAGTCATGCGTATTAGTATATTTGCTTCCACAGTGAGGCGCTGTCGTCATTTGAAGGTAACAGGTTCAATTTATTTCTTCTTTTTTTTTCTACCAGTCTTGCCAGTTAAAATCTTTTTTTTTTCGACGATCAGTGGTTGCTATGCATCTATTCCAATCATCATCATCATGTGCCCTGCAACTGGCGTAGCCGCTCGAGCTTTTCCACAGAACACGATCCCTGGTTGCCTGGAACAGGTCTATCGGTGATACCCCTCCTCCCGGCTCTCTAGCGAAGTTGGTTAAACCTGACTTTCGCGGCCGCCGGGTGACAAACTCCTTGTGGTCTGGGTTCACTCCCGGGGGTAGGCAGAAAAGCCACATTTCTCCCAGATTAACGGTACCTATAATGGAATCAATGATGAAGGGTTGCGATATCCATAGCACCGAGTCAAAGGGTTTACAACTCATGGTTTCTGGATACGTTAAAAAAAATGATACCCCTCCATGCCATCGTTTCAGCCCACCCATAGGCATCTCTATTAGTCTGCCTCCACCCCTTTTCCCATTGATCTTTCCAGTTGTCACGATGTTTTGCAATGTCTCTCTTCTCATTTAGTGGTGAAAAAACCAGTGTTTGTCTCTCTCTTATTGTTTCTATTCCAATATGGGTTATAAACAGGGCAGTGCGCTCGACCTCTCCACAAGTGCTCCAAAGTGTATCTTGTAGGAAAGTTATAACCAGGTTCTCGACTCTATGTCTTCTCATTACATGACTAAACAAAAACATTCTCTCCTTACTGTGTCTGATCAGTTTATAAAATGATTGTATCAAGGCATTTAAAAAAGACTCCCCCCGTGTAGTTCCGTGGCCCTATGATAGGGAAAACAGAAATAGACCCACTGCCTACCCAAAAGCATGTCGTAAGAGTCGACTAACTGGGAGCTTCCTTCAAAGTCGGAGGGCATCTGCCTTAGAGGCAAGGAACCAACACTCTGCACACAAATTAGATATGTCAAACGGGTGCATACGCAACACTCAGGTTCTGGATGCACTGTAATGCACTCCAGAAGTGGACGAACAACCAGAACTTTCCACCAGAGTTTACAGCTGGGAAACACAAAGAAGAAGAAAAAAAAAAAATGATTCCAATCACAGACAAATGACAAGATTACCTTCTGGGCAGCTTGATGAGACCTGGGAGAGAAGAGTGCCGAAGTGGGATCACGCCATGCCCCATTGTGTGCTCATCCATCTCTGTGCGGCTGATTCGGAGACTCTAGTCATGTCTGCAGGGACCAAGGGACATGTCTTAGTAAAGTAAAGCGCCTTTTCTACGTCTGCAAGCGTATTGGGCATATAGGGCTAGATTTATATTTTATAGACCATTCGGCACTCGGTGGGCGATGTGTTCAACATCACACCAACCGCCTTTACTTCCCAGAACATATCTAAGTGCTTATTGTACTTTTCTTACTGTGTTTGCCACAGTGGAGTCGCGATGGTGTAGTGGTTAGATGCTGCCTGCCTGCCCAAACGTTTAGGGTTTGAATCGGCATAGAAGTGGATTTAACAGTTAAAAAAAATTAAATTGACCTTGCTTCGTTGACCTTGACTAAAATATGTGCCTGTTTTAATATGGGAAGTAAAGGCGACCGGCGTGATGTTGACCATCTCACCCCACCGAGTTCCGATTAGTCTACACAAATATGGCCTAGCATTATAAATGGTGTCCTATTGCCGTGAAAATAGACCTTTGTCATAGATTTTCACTCACGCGGGGGGACTGACAACCCAGGGGAAAGCCGTGACAGTATATGATTGACTGTCACTGGAAATATAATATTAGGGATAGTATGCATTTATAACATTGTTGGTTTTTAGAAGATAACAACCGATTACCACATGTGTGGCGTCCGTGGCTAAGGCGTTGCGAGTCCGACTCGTAAGCCAGCATAGTAAAGAAAGTAAAGACAGCCGGCGTAATGCTGACCACATTACCCACAGAGTGCTGATGGTCTGTAAAAATATGGGACGCTCTGCCCATATGCCCGATGCGCCGAAAGGCGTGAAAAGGGATCTTTACTTTACTTACCACATGTCTATGTCAAAACAGTGTCAGCCAGTTAAAAAATCTGGCAAATCAAAGTGTATTTTCATAACTGACAAGGCTTCTGAAATAGGTCAAAACTGAAATGCGATAACATCAAAACTTTAGAACTATTTGGTGATTGTTGTGGCATGTAGCTTGTTTCCACAGTCCATGGGGTGTTGGGGGGGGGGGGGAATGGAGAGTGGGAAGCACTAACGAAATTCATAATCTGTTTAAATCACCACTGATCACTGGCATCATGAGAGCTAATAGACTGAAATGGTTGGGGCATGTTAACAGAATATCAGATGACAGAGAAGTAAAAACTGTACACACGAGGGAGATGAATGGTCGTAGACCACGAGGCAGACCAAGAAGACGATGGAGAGATAATGTCCAGACAGACCTACAAACACTTGGTGTCACCAACTGGAAAGAGAAGGCCAACCAGAGAGATTAATGAAGGCGGGTGATATCTGCAGCAATGAACCTCAAGGGCTCGGAATGCTGAAGAAGAAGAAGAAGAAGAAGAAGAAGAAGAAGAAGAAGAAGAAGAAGAAGAAAGAAGAAGAAGAAGAAGAAGAAGAAGAAGAAGAAGAAGAAGAAGAAGAAGAAGAAGAAGAAGAAGAAGAAGAAGAAGAAGAAGAAGAAGAAGACGAATAAGGGTGGGGAAACAATAACGGACAACACATACCAGCAATGATGCAGATCACATAAAGAATAAATCCTGTGTGACTGTGACTACAGTTATAAACGACAGCAACAGTTGCGCCACCCTTACCAGTCGTCTGTAGCGTGTTAACGTCATTATTGTCCCCAGGGCTGTATATGTTTTTAGGGATGCAAGAAGCAGTAGGTTGACGATTTTTTACATCTACCATGGCTAACTTGAACTCACACTGCATCATCCCCTAAGCTCCTGATCCAGTTTAATAATACGTGACTAGTGCTTTAAACAAACTACTGGACGTTAATTTGCCTAGAGAAACCACACAACAACCAGGGGCTGCTGGAGTTGGTTCTGCAACGTCTTGTAAAGGATACGCAACTAACAGTGCTTTAAAACCCCTTCTTACTTTTTGTCTTTGAATGGAAATATTTCAACGGGAATGAAAATCTTTATGTTTTTATATTTAATTATTGTTTCACTTTAATTCACTTTCTCGGTTTGAATTCTTTGTGCACGGTATTTATTTGAAGCAGCTAATGCATAAAATCATAGTCAGTTTTTAAATCCACCGACTTGCCCGTGTCTATTTTAATGTTTCCTGCGGTTACAAATGAAACGTTTTAGAAGCATTAATATTGCTATAGTCCGTTTCAGAAGTTATGTCCAACTTTAAAATTATGTAACCCAGTAACCGTTCGGTGTACGTTACTGAAATTTGGCATGCAAGCTGTTAATAATCATGTCCTTATAGGTTTAAAAAAGATCTTAAACAAACATCTAGTTTTCATTTGTTACTATTTCCGGTAAATGAAAAACGGGGGGGGGGGGGGGGGGGAAGAGATATGACAACGAATCCAAACAGTCAACATGCTTATAGTTATCTGAGTAACGGGACATTTTCAAAATATAAAATTGCTCGTGATTTAGAGGCATTTCAGTCTCATGTGGTCATCTCCGGCATTAACCTCCCGTTTGAGGTTTGAGGTTTGAACAACGGATTAACATCATGGCCAACGAGTAGTAACCCATACGTTCTCCGTTCTTCTTCTTACTCAAGTCTGAGTCTGATGAAGCTCACCACAGTGCACAGGCTCTGTAGCACTGGCGAGGATCCTGCAAACTTAAGGTAGATTTTTTAACTTCAAATTATGCTCGGGCAGCGCCGTTATTCTACTATTTTTCGATTTCCAACTGCCAAGGGAATTTTTACATGCGCAACAATGCACACGGAATTCCGATCTCACTACTACTAGAAGTCCAAGTCCATGTGAAAAATTTCCAGCCCTTGCTTGGTATTGAACCCAGAACCTCTATCACTCGAGGCGGACACCATGCCCCGAGAACGCGCAGACCCTTCATTAATCTCGCGTTATTCAGATTAAGGGTCATTTTATTGTCTATAAGCTATCAAAATAATTGCCATGCATCGCTGAACATGTCAAATGATTTCTTAACAACGCTTTTGTCAAATATTGTATGTTCTATGTTGTGAAGATACACAAAATGTTAGTCAAACAAAGATCAAAGAAATATACTGCATGAAGACAATAGCAGCACCTTAGCAATTTTAAATTATATATCACAATGACATAGGTAGTTTAGAGCCACAAGGAAAAATTCGTGTTGATCCAAAAAAGAGTTTTCGTGATATTTGTTAAAGTGTGAGGGCACATTTTAAACGCACTGTTGTTCGTCGTAGCGTATAGCGACAGATAAAAAGTGTAAGAATTCTCTCATATCATCCTCATTGTCGCCAGCCTCTTGTGACATTTTTACGTCAAATAATGGCTCGTAGTCTATTCTTTCGTTGCGTTACTTCGTAACAGCATCTACTTGGAAGTTAAATGTGTTCTTCCTTCTCCTATTCCTCCTTCTTCATTTTCTTCTTCATTTTCTTCTTCTTCTTCTTCTTCTTCTTCTTCTTCTTTTCTTCTTCTTCTTCTTCTTCTTCTTCTTCTTCTTCTTCTTCTTTTTCTTCTTCTTCTTCTTCTTCTTCTTCTTCTTCTCTTCCTCTTCTTTTCTTCTTCTTCTTCTTCCTCTTCTTCTTCTTCTTCTTCATTTTTTTTCTCCCTCTTCTTCTTCCTGTCTTTCTTGTCGTCTTCCTCCACCCTTATGTTCTTCGTCACATCTCGCCCTATCTGAATGACATAACTTGTGTTCCAGCAATCCTGTCCTGCCTCATATAGTATAGCGTTATTACCTTTAGTGAAAAAATATGTTTTTGTTGTTGTTGTTGTTGTTGTTGTTGTTGTTGTTGTTGTTGTTGTTGTTGTTGTTGTTGCTGCTCACGAAGCATCACATATTCCCAAATTTTAGTATAACAGCGTCAATTTTTTTGGACTCTACTTAGGTTTCGATTGATGGAGAAAGTCTCATTCACATATGCAATCATAATTAAGGATTAACAAAGTATGATCAAGAAGTGTACGGTTGTTTCTCTTACAGAATGGTTCGCATCAATTCAGGAGTCGACTTTGGGGAGATTCACGTGGATATTTTACCCGTGCTATGCAGGTAAGTTTGGGAAATAGCAGTTATACAGGCTTGGGTGTCTACTGCAAGTGCACAAGGTAAAGGTTATCTCTCGCCCGTGGGAGGAGGTCAGTAAAATGGAAGACATTGAAAACCCGTAGCTGGAGAGAATGATCAGCGGTAAGTGCCTACAGACTATGGGCGCCACTCGAAAACCCGGGGTAGGGGCAGGGTAAGACGAGTAGTTAACCAGATGATAAGGGGTGTCAGCAGTATGGAGACTCTCTACTGTCCGTTAAGAGGGAGAGGGAGCTAAAATGGACTTATCCTGAAAGCGGTGATGTCGAATCTTTTCACAAGTGCACCCAAGTGGCTTGTTTTTTAAACTCACTACTGCACCTGTGAACTGTTTAGTCTCTGTTTCGTCCAACGAGATTAAAACTGTATGAGTATTTTATTTTAAATATTATAAGCATTGAGATATTTAAAACACCAGCATGGCTAAAAAAAATTATACAGGATTTCGTAAGAATATTGTTATAATGGACAATTTCAATTCTGTTGAGTTGGGTGGGGGGGGGGGGGGGGTGGGGGGGGGGGGGGGGGGGGGGGGGGGGGGGGGGGGGGGGGGGGGGAGGGGCATATATAATAGTTGTGAAGCCTGGTATAGTAGTGCAAGAACTAATGTATGTGTAAAACATCTACAGTGTCTTTTTCAAGAAGAACAAAAGCTGTCAGTACTCACCAAAAAATATCTACCGAAGGTGACTGTACTCTCTACAAAGTTTCTATTATAACAGGGTTGGAAAAAATATTATACTATTATAAAAAGGTGTCAATCCTGCATACCGCTGGGGAAAAAAACAGACTTGGTAAGTCACATCCTAACGGCTTAACTACTAATAAATTAAGTTTATCTTTCTAGCAGAAGAATTAGCATGGGATTACAGTGACTCAGAATCGTATCACAAAAGCACCGCAGATCAATGCTCTGTAAATTGCAACTTTTAAACAACTGCAT